ACTAAATATTGATTATACATAGTTACTTCATTGATTAAAGTATAAACTGTTAAAATTTGAAATGTAATTATTATGTGTAATTTTATATAATTAAAAATTTTTGATGTGCAAGATTTTTGTCCAGGTAGTGTATAATATCTAAAATTATCAAACTTTTATATTTTATAAAATATATAAAATTTTTAACTAAAAAATAATACAAAATTTAATCTATACTCAGAAAATCACTATTTAATTATATTTATAGATTATATTTTGTATTCAATTCTTAGTTAAAAAGTCTATATATTTTATAAAATAAAAATATTTAATGAATTTAGATATTATATTATATATAAATAAAAAAATTAATATTAAATTAATCCAAAAGTTCATAAACTAAATTTTTTATATTATACTCTTATTATCTAATTCTATTTTTGATTTACTAATAATATTAAATTATAAAATATTAATATATTAATAACAATAATTAATTCTAAATCAAATAAATCTAATTTTCTAATTTATAATATTTTCACTTAATTATAGTTCATATAATTTGATAAAACTATATCTTTATCTTCTTTAAATCTTTACTTATTAATTTTTTTATAAGTTCAATAATTTTATTATTTTTTTATTGTTAATAATATTGATGAATTTTAGCTAATGCTTCAATCATTTGAATTGAAAGCTATATTTGTTTGTTATAGATCCAATTTACAAATAACTCATTCACAACTTCTGATATATTTGGAATTTTTATTCATGAAGTCTATGAGTTTAATCATTTATCATCATGTGCCAACTTTTTAAATAAATCTATTGTTTCATCCACTAAATTTGGTCCTGTTTCGAGTGATAAAACATATCTTGAATACCTCAGACTCAGGAAAATGGCTCACATATTTGATCCTGATCCAAACTGAAAGCATAATATTCTAAAAAAATTTATAACATAAGTAAATAAAAACTGAAAAACTAAAAATAATATAAATTGAAAATAATACTGACCATGAGATTGTATAAAAAATATACTAATTCCTGATTTAAACGAACCATTATCAAATTCTTTTTTGTAGTTTAAATAAGAGTTTATAGTATCATGTTTACTAGTATCTCTGTTATTGTTAACAACTTCATCTTCAATTTCTTCAACAACTAGCATTTCAGATTCATCTTCATCCTCAACATCTTGCATTCTGGTTTTATCTTCACTTCAAAAACTGGATATCTATTGCATCTGGTCCATAAGATGTTTCGCCAGACAAGTCTTCATAACGAAATCACTTTTCGTTAATTTCTTTAATGCTAGGAAAATATAAATAAATATCTCCTTATAAATTTCTTTCGAGTAATGTAGACACGATTCTGCTGGTATCCCTGTGCTGTTATCATAAAAACTCATTGATAGTTTAATAACTTTATAATGATTTTATGATTCCATGTACTTTCGTGAACAGAATCATCATCTTTCCGTCTATGTGTAGTATTCCTAAACCGATATAATCACTAAAAATTAATTTTAAATTAGTTATTTCACGATTTCAAATATAATATACAAATCAAAAACTAAAATATTAATATACATACAATCTATATAATAGATCTTAAATAGCGCGAAACATTTCTTTATCTTTTACATCATTATAATCTGTTTTTTAATTTGGTCATCATCATCATCATAACGTCGTATATAGTCACTATCTTTTATAGGAATCTCTAATTCTATTTCATTGTTGATACTATTCCACAATTCTCTTTCTATCAGATGTGCTTGAAGTTATTCTGGGGTATAACGAAGATCAATTATTCCAGATAGAAGAGGGTCATCTTTCTTTAAATCCATATAAAAAATGGTTTCGTTATTTTGCTTATTGGAAGTTCTTTTAACTGAAAGAAACAACGAAAAAATTAATAAGGATTAACAAAATAAGGTAAAAAAAACTACTTACACTTGCCTCTTCAACTTCCGTAGTTCTTCCATCTACATTAGCATATTTTTCAATAAGACATTCGTATTTCTCATTATATTCAGTAGCAAGAATTTTTGATGACACTTCATCTTGAGGTATTTTATCTTTAAAGGAATTGTCGATGACTCTTTGAATGTCGTTCCAAAATGGTGCAACTTTTTTTTCTAATAAAATAATAAAAAATGTTAATAGACAAAGATTTATAAGTTTATTACAAATAAACAATGTTACTATCATAATTTGCATTTAGAAGAAATATTTAGAGGTCCGACAAAACCGCATATTTAAGGAAAGATGACTATTATACTGCAGCGAAAAGATGTTGTCATCACAGATATTATTCCTAAAGATATAGCTATACTTGAATATATTTTTACCATAAGATCCGAGTTGTTTTGATCCGATAGAATTTGTATAATTCTTTTTTAATGTCATTTCCAGAAACCAAACCTATGATGCTGACATGTCTAAAGGCGAAATTATTTAGTAAATAGGTGAGGAATTTATTAGTTGCAGGCATATCTTTAGCTTGAAGGAGCTCATTAAATTTTTCTAATGACTTTTAAATGTGTAATTGTAAAGGAAACAATGATGATTCCCATGCTGATTGTATTTGCATGATACTAATACAGAAATTTAACGTGGCGTTTTCCCTTTTTGTTATTATACACTGGGCGAAATTTGTTAATTGTAAATATAACACACCGCCTCCAGTTGTCCGGCTTCACAAGCTCTTAACAAGCAAAAAATCTTTATAAACAAAGATTCTTTAAGGTAATTCATCCTTTTCATAATATATTATGCTCATTAATCTGAAAAAATATTGCGTTTCAGCTTAACCCCTAATTCTATAAAGAGTTTCAAGAGAAGAATATTAATGATTATGAATCAATTAGCGTATTCTCCCAGGCCTGGCTTCATAGAAAACATCTAGAAACTGATATTCTAAAGTGTAAAAGCTTTTCAAAAATGGGAACAAGCTCAAGACTGCTCTGAAGGAAGTGTAGTCAAAATTTAATGTGTTAGTTTGGGAAAGGTTGTGAGCTCGATGCTGTAAGGAATCGAAGTGATATTGAAGTCTATAGAGGGCGGGTAATGTATTAGTTAATGGTAAAAAATTTTATGTATAAAGCAGAAATGAATATATATCTAAAATTTTATTTTTTTAAAAAAACGGACGTTACTTTCTGTGGCAACTGTACATATCGATATTAGTACCGTAATCATCTGATGATTACTTAAGAATTTTGTAACTTTCGCTTTGGTTAGCGTTAAAATTTCTTTTAGAATGCAATGATTTTTAATAAATAAATAACAAATAAGAAACGAATGTGTATAATCTTTTATTTAGTAAAATAAAACAAATTAGCTTATAATTGAAAGAATTATCATATAGGTAAAAATACTTTTTTTTAAGAAACATGATTCTGTGACTGATACTGATATGTACAGTACTTACGTGGGGGGGGGGGGCTGAAAAGTTTTGCACGCGGACGTTTATTTCCAAAACTGTAGTAATAATTATCAATACAACTACTTCATTCCTTCAAAGTACTCTCCATTAAACTTTATACAATGTTCTAACCGATTTCGCCAACTCTGGAAAGAGTTCTCATAGTCCTCTTTTGGGATACCTTCAACAACTGCCTGAACAGCCCTTGCCAAATTTTCGACCTTATCAAATCTCTTTCCCTTTAGTTCTTTTTTTATTCGAGGGAATAAGAAAAAATCACAAGGAGCAAGATCCGAACTGTATGGTGAGTGGGGAAGAAGTTCTACTCGCTCGTTATGAAGATATTCTATTACGATTCTTGCCTTATGTGCTGCGGCATTATCATGATGAAGTATGACGTCACGAACAGTCATTCTACCCTTTTTTTCCATAAAGTTCGAAAAAACTTTTGGTAGTATCTCGTTGGCATAAAGGTTAGCGTTAACTGTTTGTCCTTTTGGAACCACAAATCGTGTAATGACTCCATATACAGAAAAAAATATGCAAAACATTCTTTTTTTCGAATTTTGAGCTGTCTTTACTATTTGTGATCTATTCTCATCCTTTCCTAGCCATGACTTGTTCGCTTCCTTATTTGAAATAGTAAAGAAATATATCCAGGTTTCGTCACCAGTAACAATATTTTTGTACCTCTTGTCTAAAATTTTTAATAGTTGCTTGGAAATTTCAACATAATTTCATTTATGTTCCTCTGAAAGTCTATGAGGAACCCATTTTGTATAGAGTTTGTGAAGATTTAGCTCTTCATGTAAAATGTAAGAAATTCTTTCATAGGAAATACTGACTTCGTTGACTAATTCTTTGATAGAAATATGCGAGTTATTACTAACGAGATCCTCGACCCTGGCAATTTTTTCTGACGTCACTGCTTCGCGAGGACGTCCAGAATGGGCCTTGTCTTTAATTTCTTCTTCCCCATCTTTGAATATAGTAATCTAGCATCTAATTGTGCTGATAGAGAGTGCTTGTTCCCTTTCTACATTCACCAACTCTTCATGGATTTGAGTTGCATTTCTGCCATTTTTCCAAGAAGTGAAAATAAAGTATCGTTGATTTTCACGGCTCATTTTCTTCCAGTTGTTTTACTATGCTTGACAAAAAAATTGGTTTCTCGACAATGAGATAATGAA